GTAAAAGTTCAACCTTTCCCTTGTCAGTAACAGTTTTTTGAGTTCTTTCTTTTGGGATACACAACATCTCAATTAACTATAACATTTTTCAGCAATTGTAGGATGTAACTCCAATTCAAACTAGTTATTCAGGTTGAAACATTCTTCTGCAACATGTGATAAACAACAGGATGTTAGGCCTAATCCAATATGTGGTTAACAGTAAAAAATGAAAAAATATATACTAAAGAAAAAATAATACAATTAAGAGGCAAAGCCCATAGCTTCTACTTTTTGGTGTAGACTGGACTCAACAGGTTAAGTTATAGATGGTAAACTAATATTGTGTGTCATGGTCCAAGAGGTCAAGATACAACACACAGAGGTGGTCAATATATAGAGGTCAGTCTTCTATTGAGTACATGTAATGGATGTCCACTCTATGAAAATTAGGTCAACTTAAGAAGTTGGTCAATGTAGGGAGGTAGTCAACTACAGAAGTTCTACTTTATCTGCTTATTGTTTAAAACCACTGGGATTTGGGGGCTGGTTGTTATTACAGCAGAGCTGTTGTGCTGTATGTCACTTCAGCTGATGAAAGATAGAATTAGGAGCCTAACTTTGGTAGATATAATTTAAATACAGTAGAATCTCTGTAAGTTGATCACCCAGGGCACTGTAACAAACTGGTCAACATAAGAAACTTCCACTGAGGACATGTTAGGCATGCCCAATCTATGAAAGTTAGGTAAATGTAGGGAGTTGGTCAACAGGAGGAGGAGGTTTTCCTGTACCATAGAACTCATTTATTATTCTTTTATCTTTATCACAAAAAGTAACATTTATTTTAACAATATCTTTTTCGCCACCATGACATCTGAATAAGCATTAAACTCTTTTAAAGACTGACCTTTAGTATAGCAACACTACAGGAAACAATGTTAAAATTTTCTTTTTTTAAATAAGAAAAATTTTAAGAACTCATTTATTTTAAGTACACAATTCAATGATTGTTAGTAAATGTATAGTGCAAAGATCACCACCATCTAATTAGAACATTTTCATCATCCTCAAAGGAAACCTAGTAAAGTCACTTCCCATTCTCACCCCTAGACCCATGGAATTATGTAATGTATATTCCTTAATGTCTGGTATAGTGTTTTCAATATTCATCCAGGTTGTAGCATGTATAGGGAATTCATTCCTTTTTACTGACAAATAGCATTCTGATGTATGGATATATCGATTTTGTTTATCTATACACCAGCTGATAGACATTTTGGCTATGTCTACTTTTTGGCTATTATAAATAATACAACTATAAACTTTTTTTCTTTAAAGATAAGGTCTTACGGCTCAGTGCCTGTGGCTCAAGTGGCTAAGGCGCCAGCCACATACACCTAAGGTGGTGGGTTCAAATCCAGCCCGGCAGCCAAACAACGACAGCTGCAACCAAAAAATAGCCGGGCGTTGTGGCGGGTACCTGTGGTCCCAGCTACTTGGGAGGCTGAGGCAGGAGACTCACTTGAGCCCAGGAGTTGGAGGTTGCCGTGAGCTATGATGCCACAGCACT